GAAGGATTAGTTGCTCCTGTGGATGAAGTGATGTCACTCAGTTCATAAGTCAGTTCATGTTGTCCTTATTTACCCTATCCTTGGGGAAAAGAAAGATTTTTTCGCAAGATATTTTTTTCGCAAATATTGTTCTTGCTTTAACAAAGTTGGTGCTGCACTAAGCAAAAGTAGGGTTTCATTTTAAAGCAATCAAATTAGAATATTTTAAGCATATGGCTGAAATTTGTTGTACTATAGTGCAACAGCATGCATTCAGTTCACCTTTAGGTCTCGGAGCCTGTTTACATGTGGAGAGAGAGAGATGATTTCAGCCAAAACGGTCTACATTATCAAGTTGTGAAGTTACATGTAGCTGAAATAGTTCTTTTTTTTTTAATTCTGCCTGGCCAAACGTAAGCATCTGGCAAGAATTACTATATCTTAATGCTAAAATGTGCCAAGATACGATAATGATTTCAGCTTAGCACTGAAGACAGTTCAGTTTGGCTTGGTTTAAGAAAAGAATTGATATTTTTCACCAGTTTTGCTATGACGTGGTGTAAATTTAGGTTCTGTGGCCAATCCAATATGTCAGTTTCGTATGTCTTCGCCAAGCAAGGACACATTAGACTCGGCTGCGGTGGATAAATATGATTGATTTATTGTGGTAATTCGACCTTTTCAGTGGTTTTGTGTAGAATTAGAATGTAGATAAATCCTGTGGTCACTAAGTGGCCTAAGAACATGAAGAAGGTATTTTTACAACTAAGAAGATATTAAATGAAGGCATATTTGTCACCAATTCTTGCCACGGACTGATCAGTTTTCTTCTTTGAAAAAGAGGAATTTGCTATTTTATTTTTAAATGGAGAAAGCATGGAAATTACTTCATATCAATATTGTCAATATATTATATAGAAATATATCAATAATAGTTTAGGAAATTATTGCTCTGGGGTTTTATATGATGTTTATATATATATAAATGTATGTTTATGGCTTTCTTTGTGTTTATACTCCCTATGGACTAATCTATAAAAAGACTATATAAAACAAAAGTCCGCGGTGATGTTAAAACTGAAATAAATTCATTTTGCTTCAGAACATCGTCATTTATTCAAAATGATTTAAAGGCGTTAATTGTATCAGGAAATTAAAAACTAGAGGAAGTGTTATGTCAAATGGGGTGATTTTGCCATTCACCAAGGTGTCAAAGATTATAACTGACGTCAGTGCTTCGCTGGTAAGTATTAAAGTGGTGAGAATTTAAAGTAAGAAGATATTATGTCCTTACTTACTGCTAGGATTATAAGGTTTTGGACTGAAAAGAAATCTCAAGTCAAAGGGAGAATGCTATAAATACATGTCTTCTACATCCACAGACTTAGAGAAATGACAAATATGACGTAAAAAAAGAAATCACAAAGAATTTATCATAATGATTCAAATTTCTAAGAAAGAGTTGTGTTGACAACTTGGTTCCCTTGTTTCCAATTCCTTTTCAACCTACAATTGACTAGGTTTTAAGATTGATAAAAGTTGGATACATTACCCCTTGCAGCTAGGAGCCAAAAGAACGTTCTATAAAAACCAGAAAACATGTTTTCCAAAGACATGTAGAGATCTAAACTGATTGTCCTGTGATTACTTACAATTGTCAAATGTCTTTTTTTTTCAATTTTTTTTCATTATTCAGAGTTTATCATTTTTAGACACTTGCAAAAATATACATTCTGACATGTTGCCAGTTTAACTTTGCCAGATGTTACTCACAAAACTTTTTTCTTTGGGTATGGGGTTATCAGTTCATGTTATTCAAATTTCTAGACTGAATACCATATTCATTAAGTCATTCTGGAAGAGCTGAAAAAGATGGTTTTGATTTGGATGAATTAAATACACATAAACACTTCACTTTCTGCTTTAAAACATTTACAAACTGTAACAAAAAAAACAATTTTATATATAAACAAAAGTCATAGATGGCATGACTAGAAACTTGTTAAGAATTTGATTAGGAAAGTCTGCACTCTTTAAACCATGGGCATCAGAAAATGAGGATAAATATTTGTGGAAGACGCTCAAGGAAAAAAAAAACAGCAGGGTCTTCTGGCTAATAACAGGGGTCCTGTGCCAGAAAAAAGGAACTATAAAGCCCAAAAAAAAAAAAATCTTTCCGACCAAAATTAAACCTAAACTTGACCAAAATAATCCAGTTATGGTCCAATATTTAAAACTAAATATTTTGGTATTTTTAAAATTACAATATTACCTGGGCATGTCTTATTTGCAAATTGATAGTGATATCATTTTGGCATAAGGAAAAACAACAACAGGAACACTGATTTTAAAAATTATTTGTTTCCCCTTTTTGACTTAGGGAAATTAGTATTTGCAGTTTGAAGACTGCAAAATGCATACTAGTAACTTAAATTGGTATTAGCATTGAAAAATAAGCTAGAGCGGATAAAGTACAACATACTTGTATTATTTTTAATTACTTGAAAATCATCTTCAAAATATACCTCTTCATATCAGAATAAGTATATGTAAAAGTGTCAAAAATACCCTGAGTTTCTCCAGTGACTTTCACTCTATCAGCATGCCTCTGTAATTTCCACTATTTATAAAGGTAACTTGCCAGTTACCTGTGACTCTCGGGGTAAACATTAACATAGCAGCAGAATACAGTTAAAACAAGAGAGCATCCAGGTATATATTAAAGACATGATAGAAATATTTGGCAGAGTCACTACCGATAATGTTAATCTACGCAAAAATGCCGAGTTTTTCTTATAGTGTTTAAGGTTAAAAGTGCACATTGAATATTTTCATGTTTTGTACTTTGCAAACTGTAATAAAGGCTTACGTGGATTAAAAATTATGGTACCTGTGGTTGAAAATAATGGTACCCCTAGATCAAAATTACTGTTAAATGTGGATTTATAATACTGGTATATTATATAATAGTAGTTGGATGAAAAATAGTGGTATATATATATATGTAGATTGAAAATAATGGTCAATGTATGAAGTAGGTCAGCAGTATATTTTACTTAACTCATAGCATGTGGCAAGAAGAAATTTGCTGTGAGAACCCAACAGTGAGCTGTACTGTAGTGTGCAACAAGTCCAGTATTAGATCATGTAAAAGGCGCTAATTGCGGCAACACCAGGAAGTGCCAAGACATGAAATGTATCACAGATATTGATTGGCGGAAATACGGTAATTGCTCTGATTTTTTGAAGGCACTTTTGCTCATTATTTTAGTTATTGAGTTTTATTAGTATTTTTTTTCAAACACTCACAACTATGTACTTCCGACACAAACCCAACTTACTTCTTAAAAATTTAGCATCAGCTGAGCATTGTAAATAATGCTAACAAATAAAAAGAGATTTTTTTGAGGGGGTGTATTAACTCATCTTGTTCAAATCTAAAGAACAATTACCGTAAACACTAAGCTTTCCTGCTGGCCATGGCCATGTTGTAGCGGGCTTTAAGAGATTACATTCCTCTGTTTCACAGTATATTAGGCCTGGAAGGCCCAAGGTAATGGGGACAGTGAGGGCGAGGCCAGCGTTAGGGATTTGTTTACCTTGGCGCTGTTACTTTAGAGCTAGAGGAATACACACAAGAAGTCAGGGCTAGATGTACCTATACACACATGCATGTTTAATTGGAGCTGGAGGGATCTCCTGTAAATGTCAGCTGCCCTAGGAGAAAAAATTCCGTACCTGCAGTATATATCTTAGCAGGGGAAATACCTCTCGGTGTTCACCAAAGGAGCTTTACTATTTCAGCTGCATGTTTTGCGCTGCATCGGGAAAGGTTCCGTGGTTGTAGTTATGAGGAATAATTAAAGCTTTGGTTAATGAGTATCTTCAGTATGATATGTTAGAGGAAGCATTTGCAATCTTGGTTATGCGTGTTGTTTAGTGTTTTTGCCAGAGGAGAGGCTATTTGACTAGCTACATAGTCAGCGCCTTTAATTTACAGGGAATGACAAGATTGAACTTTACCTGGAGTAAACACACAGCCCAAGGCAATATATTCTGCCGTGATTACAGGAATTATTGCGTTGTATTTGGATAATGGACCTGGATTATTGAAAAGATTTGAAGTGTGTGTGTAAACTCACAATGGAAATGGAGGGATCAGGGCCTTGTTTTATTTGCCCACTGAGGATGTAAACAATATTGTTCAGCTAAGGCAAAAAATATATATTATATATCTTCAGAGATAGAACTGTTTTTTGAAGGAAGCACACAGGATATTAAAGGTATTGTTGCTTAGAAGAAAGCCCAAAGAGCTCAGTTATTAAGCCCTAGGAAATTGTAGAATGATATTGGGGTATTAGGAACGGAGATATTGCAAAGGTTGGGATAAGTGAAACTGAAGGACTTTTTATTCTCAGTGCTTGTTTCGACAAGAGCCTCAAGAAAATGCAGTCTTTTTCAGAGAGGCGTAATTTAATGTGGATCCAGGTATAGTCTTATAGATAAACAAGGTTAGATTTTGTACACCCTGGATCAAGTTATATAACCATGGAAAGCTTTATGCTGCAACTGAACTAGGAAGCCCGAAGATTGTATGTTAAGTGTGAAGAAGAATCAAGTTGCAGTTGCTAGCTTAAAATACAAGTCTTACCTTTATACAGAGTTAACAAAGCTTCACCTTGTTTATTTATAATACTGCTTGAGGTTAAGGAAGAATACAGACCCATTCTGTCTCATCACAAAAACCCTTTGCAAAGCACTTTTGTCGATCTAAGGGCCCTCATGTTTCCTAAAAGATCTTTAATCTCATATTGGCCTAAACTTTGAGATAAAAAATAAGTCTACTTCAGCTAAATAGAAATTCAGTCTAATTAAGTAAGTATTGATCTATCTTATGTCCAAGTAGGCTAAAAATATGGTCTTAAAGTGTAGACCAATTTTTGGGGTCAAAGTCCTTTTGCAGCCCCCTAGTCAAAGAAAACTCCACCTGGGGAAGAGATAAATACAAGATACACGAACTCACTTCAAGAGACAGAATTAATCTGGCCTGGATTAATAAGACATAGGGTACCTGCAGAGAGGCAGTATTAAAAGCCTGTGTTTGTTTACTTAAGTTCATACAGGGTGAGAGAGAGAGAGAGAGGGAGGGAGATCATTCCCAGAGCCTATCATATTAACTTTGGATCGAACTATCTCCAAGGAGATTCTGGGAGATGAACTGATTCAGTTAGATCGATCTAGGGAAGGGAACCCAGTCAGAGAGAGAGACTGACCATAAAGAGACCACTAAGTGACCACATCCTGGTTACATAGCTGAGAGAATCTTACCCTCTGCTGTGGCAGTGAATGGAAAGAGAAAGCAAGAGATGACACAAAATTTGTCATTTAAAATGTGATTTATAAGAACTGTCAGCATGCAGTGGTAGCCGCAGCTATAGTAAGAGATAATACAGGGCATCCCAGTCTGCTTAGTGCGTAACCAGGGAATGACTTCTACGCATTTACCAAGAAGAAGGCCTAAAGGGATATAGGGGATGTACTTTTGATAGAATTTGCTATTAAAAAAGGACATTAACGTTGACTTCACCCGGCAGTGTCAAGCTGCAGGTTAGAGAATACGGAATCCAGGATCTCACTTTAAACCAGTGAATCAGTTCTTCGCATTTTCCAATAAGGAGATCTAATATCACGGCGAATGTAGCTGTTGATGGTTTTCTTTCTGGAGGGGATGAATATAAGGCTGCTGCGGACCAAGCTGGACTTCTAAGTTGTGTCGTATTAATAGCTAGGAAAACTGGCAGTACTGTATGCTCAGGAGTCATGAAGTTGGTGTTTAGATATGTGTCTTACAAGTAAAGATACAATATAATATATACACACATAATGCATTTAGCAGGCAACATCTATAGCCTGGGGAAATACTAATAATAAACAGAAGTGAATTGCTATGTTTGAAGGTAAATTGTTGAAGACACAGGTGTCCATACTATTGTGTAGCTATGGAAGTGTGAACTTGGCTCATTTCAAGATAATTCTCTGACCTAAATTACACCAAATTTTCACCAAATCAGTGCTAAATTGTTCAAATAAGCAGGAAGTACCCAGTGCATTCAGTCTGCATCTTCTCAAGCTGAAATAAATGAGATATCACAGTTGGCAGTGATTTTACTCAGAAGTGGGAAAAGTCTAATTTCGATTAGGACTGAATCAAATACTGCAAATATCTGTATATATACAGTTGGTATGAGAGCAATGGCTTTTCAGATAAAGGACTCTGTGAACCTGCAGAAATCTTGGAAAACATTGTAGATGATGGTGATGAGACGTCACACGAGAATTGTTTATAACCTTTGTGAACACATGCCAGCAGTGCATTAGTACGGTAGTTATTCCGTAAATTTGAACAAAATAAGTTGGTAATTCCTCTCTCCCTTCCCCCTCCTTGTATTTACTGACAAAAATTTTAAAATGTTGATGCATAAGATTTGAACAGTTTGTATAAAATGAGAGTACTAGTAAGCGCATCTAAGTGAGTTTCTTAAAAGAGATCTATCAATCTTGTAAGAGTAAAATAGTAGAAGAAGTGAGGAAGTTGCAATTTTTCAAGTGATCAAATTATTTATGTCTGTAAAAGAAGTCCTCTACGTACCTGTCACAAAGCCAGTTGACATATTAGTTTGACAATTATACCAGTATGATAATGTCCTCAGTGTCACTCACGTATATAATCTTGGTTTACACTGACAGTGTATAAGTATACGGGAGACCAGCTAAAACACCCGTTACACATCAACCTGACACATGTGACAAATATACCTGCATAAGTATAGGGCATATATTGTATATGATCAGGGTACATGTGCCATTCTTAAGTGGAAAGTTGACAGAGGACGTATATGCGTAGAGTAACAAGGGTTTTAGGTATATATGTTGTTGGTGAAAAATAATCTCAACTGAGATTATTTTCTGCCATTGAAATATTGAGTTCTTACAGAGAAGCTTGCTTGTGGAGACCTGTAAAACCTTTCAGGAGACAAGGAAATCAAGAAGTTGTTGAGATGAAAGAAATAAGAAGAAACTCAGTGTGTGTATTATTCTTGTAACTGAAAGTCAGTATATTCTCATGGAATTCAATGTGCAGGTTGCCATCACCAGTGAAAAAAAAGCAAGTAGCTGTCATAATTTTGCTGATTATTTTGTAATCTGACTTCCTAGACAGACTGCAAAAGGGATTTCATTGGTTTCACTACCAGGCGACTTGACACGAAATTGCTCAATACAGATGATCGGTGTACAGAAATCAAATTGAATAGCAGCATGATTGCGGAGACGATGACGCTGTAGCAGCAGTCGTACTGCTTCCCATTTCTCAGAAGCTGTAATAAAAGAGAAACTCTAGCTAGCACTCCAGAGAAAGAGGCTGGCAATTCCATAAGGATCTGTTTTAGGATTTTGGCGTCCTGCCTGATCGTAGGTCAATGAATGTTCATTATAACCAGTAACTGTTTATTCTGATCTGTAATTTTTTTCAGTCGTATATTTTTAACTTGGCTGAGCAGGGTAACATTATACAATTTTAGGGAACAAGGGTCGCTAAGTGTAAATTACAAGGAGTTGCGTGACTGGCTGCTATTAAACAAGTTAAAAACAGGGAAAAGGCTTGCATTGGTCATATATCACATGCACTGCTGCCACTGGACAAGCATGTCATACGCTAAATGTTTTTGAACAAACAAAACCATGATATTATACAGTGAACGCTCGTATAATTCTGACATTATGCTGAGCCTGATGAACCTTGTAGTAATGTATGATGTCTTACCTGAGGATGAACTATTGGCCAGCATTCAAAGTATAGGGAGTTAAAAAAGATAAAGAATAAGACTGGATTTTTATAAAGCAGAGTCACTTTTGGAACAATATCTATTACATCAGGGATCATATTACAGTACGGGTTTAACAGATGTGTGAAATGACAATTATTCCAACAGGGAATGATACATGTGACTTCCTCTCTTGATGCCAGATGTAAGACGATATACGCCGCGGAGAAAAAAAGACTTGATAAATATAATGTGTGATATCATTTCTGTATACAAGTAACACAGCGCAGTGACCATTGACAACATGCCTGAAGAGGAGGACAGTGTAAGGTAAGCTATGGCAGTCACCTGCCCAGCATTACACCACCTGAGGAAATGTACCAGTTCAAAGGTGGGATACTGCTGGGTGGTTTCTTTAAGTTAGCTATAGTGATGTCATTGAAGCTGTTATATGTATTCGATTAATGAATGTTTTTATATATTTGTAGGCATGAGATATATAGGCTAGGTTCACAGTGACCCTCTTGGGTCACTATGGGGATGTATAGGATCACCATGGAGATTAAGGAGGTCACCAAAGAAACATAAGATCATATGGGAATCGTATGGGTCACTATGGAGTTGAATGGGGTCACTGTGGAGGTCGTATGGGGTCACTGTGGGTGGGTTGAGGAGGTCACTCTGGGGATCATAAATTGTCACTTTTGGGCCTTAGGGTCATTGTGGGGTCTGCATGGGTTGATTATACGGCCATTTGGGGAGGTCATTTGGGTCATTTAGTATGGTGTTTCTTTAGAAACACTATCACTGTAGATTATCACCTTAGTGAGACGGCTTAAATTATGTCTTATGAAGATATGTTATATGTTGTGCAGTAGAAAGAACAAAAAAGAAAGGGAAAAAGATAAAGTGCTGTGTTTTATCATGTTACTAATTCACACGAAATTCCAAGCTCTAGGAAGTCATTACCGGTTTGTTCTTTACATGAGAAATTATGAGAGCAAATCTCGGAGAGAAAATGTGATGAAAAGAAATTGATTACTCAGAAGCAAAAGTAATTGAGAAATAGATGACGGATTGGATTCGTGGAACCTGAACGCCAAGCGTGCAGTGCCTGGATTGATGGAGCAGCTCGTCTCCGCGGTTCCTTAATTATATGACATGGCATGATATCCGCAGAATTAGTTTTTATTAGGATGAATAAGGCCCGCGTTGAATTGGAGATTAAGGTCTATTTTCTTTAATTTAAATTGAGAGCAAGTTAAGGACCGGGGGGGAGGGGGGGGGTACCATTGGCGTGTTTACTCAAGTCTTAGACAGAACAACACAATAATCTGAATATTCCCGTATATTTTCTTTTTTCTTTGGACAGTGTCTCTGATGGTGCATTAAAAAAGGCTGTAGTGATCTTTGTTAATGATCTGCCCAATTAAACCCATATAATGCACAGAACAATAATATTTTTTATAGCTCGGTTATGCCAGACATCAGTTTATATTAGCTGCTACTGAATTGGAAGATAGGAGTCATGAACTGACCATGCCTGAATGCTTATTTTTGTTTTTACATACATATCTAAAATAGCTGAAAATAAACTGATAATTATTATGGCATAAGGTGGGTTCTGCAATATCTTAAGATGCTTATAGTCAGGGGTTGAACTTGTCATCTTCTGGCTCAGTGCCAAGCAGGAGTGAAATCAGACCAGCAATATCAATGAAATCTGTGCATTTATCATCTTCAACCAACCAGCAATTTTTTCTAACTCACCTTTCTCACGTGTCATAATTTATCAGCAATCATTTTTTCCTAAATGTTTTTTTTTTTTATCTTTTACTCCATTGGTTGTACAATTGAAATTTTTGCAAAGGAAAATTATTAAAATCATTATGCCTTCATGCTGTCTCATCACCATGTATTGAAATATTACACTTGCAATAGATGTCAGTTAAGTCCTGGAGCATGCAATCGCTTCCCGAGTTGTCGCCATGTCTGTGTTAAGCTGACATTATTATTGGATTTTCAGGAGAGCTGACAAATACCAGCAATTCCAGGAAAAAATCCATAGCAGAAATGTGTATAATTCGAAAAAGTAATCCTTGTGCAGGTTTACCCGCTAGACAAAATTAGCAATGATGTGAATTCGTACAATTTAAATAACGCGCGTTCCTGGTAAATGACAGGCTGATGTCAGAGCTGTGGTCCCTCTTATTAAAACCGAAAAAAAAAAAAAAAAAAACCTTTAAGGTTTGGCTTCAGGATGCAATTTAGAACTAATTAATTTACAAACTGGGTTACTCTGGGGAATTACATGTTATTGTTCAATTAAGCTGAAAGCCTAGGATTATTTGTCTGCATGAAGTGAGGAATTAATTGTAAATCTTTCAGGAAAGGGTACGAGCGCACTGGCCTTGAACTTGCAGGGTTTTATCGCATGTGTGTGTTTGTATATATTTGTATGTTTATTTTTTTGGCGTTGCACTGACTGTGATCAGTAATTGTAATTATCTGTTTAAAGTATATGTCACGGAACAATGTCATGGCAAAATGCCACGGAACAGTGTCATGGTATGTGTCATGAAACAATGTCATGGCCTCGGTCATGAACTTTGCGTGTTGTGTTTTTGTGTGAAAACATGTTTTTCAGCAATAATTTTATTGATTCTTTCTAGTTGTTTTGTATCAGTTTATAGGAAGTGGTGCAATCCAGGCATCCGTCATCTCAAAATGTCATAACACTTGGAAAATAGGTTGAAAAACAAGTTAAGTCTTCAGATTATATGTACTACATTGGGTCATTAGTGATGCATTTTGACTTTTTTGACCACAATAACCATTGTAAAAACAGCCCTTGCCATTCAGATGCAAGGCTTGTCTAAGTCAAGTCAAAAAGATATATGACAAAGAAGAATATTGAAAGGGATCTGCATAGAAATGAATATGGATACTGAAGAATGCATAGAAATGACAAAATTATGAATTTTTAGGACTCCTGAAATAAAGGTCAACTATCAATACTCATGATTTTATTTTTTGAAATTGTAGCCAAAAGGTATAAAGTTTTATAATACAAAATTAAATACAAAAATAAATTAATAAAACACATGAAATTATGTAAGATGAATTTATTTTAAAAGATGCATGCTTGTACAGTTTTTGTGACTGTCGGCAAATTTCCAAAATTTCTCCTGGTCCTTACATCCTATTTTCTGAGTTTTTCACTGAATGGTAGTATCATCCCTGTGCATACATTATATATATTAAATACTAGACATCAAAAACCTTACAAGCAGATAAATGAATATGCATAAAAACAAGGGAATTAATTAATTAATTGATAAATTAATTAATTAATGAGGTAAGGGAGATGACTTTTTGTCATCTCATAACTGCCCTGTGGATTTTGACTGAGGGTTTTTATCAGGACACTGAAAAGAAAAAAAAACTTGTTTGTTTGTTCTTTATTTAATGATAAATTATGTTTGGAAAGCTATATTTTTTTTTCAAAACACTGTGGTGTTCTTTATGGATGTAATGTTACATTACAATCAATCCTAGTCCTGGTACAAAAGCCTTTGATCTTCAGTAATTAAATGTGATAGTGGAAGATGTTGGAATGCCAGGTCGGGACTTCCCATCCCAGTCTTATCTCTGGATGAAATAGGATTTTGCTACATATATTTGGCTCAAGGATAAAAAACATATTTAAAGAAAAAAAAAAAACTGGAGCAATGTCACTACGGTATGCAGAGCATAGGGTTGGGCAATTTGCTCGATTTTGTTTTGTTTTGCTTGTTTGGGACAGGTACATCAGAAGCTGAGGGAGAGAAGCCTGTTTGCAGTGTCTTCTGGATTCTGCCATTGCTTCTTGGCAGCTTAATATAATTAGATGAATTGTTATATACACACACACAGGCATATTCAATATCAGAACAATTTTGTAAGGTGCTTTGAGACTTTGATAGTGTGCCAAAAAAGAAATTATTATGCAAGAGAATTTGTGCCCCCATCCCTATTTTTTCTCTAAAACTAATCCTTGACCTGATTTTATTCTCGACTTGGCAGTCCACATTGCTTCACGCGTAACATAAAAACAACAAAAAAAATGAAGATGTAGATGGTCGTTCACCTTTCTCTCTGTCAAGTTATTGATATACGGAAGTTGGTGACTTGCTAACAAAACAGCACAGTGTGGTATTTCACAGCACGGCATTAAACTGATTTTCACCAGTGAAACAGTAGCACCCTGCAATTTATACGTGTGTTTCTACAATATTGTTGGTGGAGTGGACAAAACTCGAACTTGTTCGTGTTTATAAATAAATTCAGAGACTTTCCACATTTTTTTTCTGATACTTTGATGGAATCATCTTTTAAGAGATAAATGCATTTTACTTGAAAGAAATCAATAATATTCAGGAGAATTAAATGTATGACATCAGACCGTGATATTTTGCCAGCTGCATAAGCTGTGATTATAAAATGGCGCGTTCAGACTGGTAACAAATAAAACTGGAAATGGTGTATGTGATTATGTGAGGACTAATAGAACTAAAGCAATAGGGATAACTGTGTTGCCTGATGTGAAATAATACAGAAGCATCATAGCATCTTAGAAGTTCAGACTCTTAGGTTATATTTCCATTAACACCATTAATCTACGTAGATCGACCAAACTGTGCAGGTACTCTCGCTAACTGCAATCGACTTAATTGAAGGACACGTCTTCTGCTGGCGTTAAGTAGAAAACAGAAAAACTGGTGACTGTATGAGTGCATTGGAAACAACAGGAGGGATGTGATTCAGTTAAGCTGATTGCACTTGGCGAGAGTTTTGCAGAGTTGGATGGATTTACATAGACGGATTGTGTTTATAGAAAAGGGCCTGCGTCTTCTGGTATCATCACTAGTCTGCTAGATATTAAAAAAGAACAGTATTAAGACCGCAGACAGTGATCATAGTGCCACCACTGTCTTGGTTATTTTTCTTGCAAGATAGGGATTGTTTCCATTTCTTGTGAAGGTTACTCCAAAGTCAAGTGGCACAACTGTCAGTGAATGCCAGTGCATCCCTCTGTACATTGACAATTATTTGTCAGAAATAACAATGATTATACTTCAGAGTATCTGGAGGATTCTTGGAGGTAATTGACGTTGATAATAGGGGTTCATGATAGTTTGTTACGCTTGCTGTTCCCCTTTTTTCAAGACTGTACAGTTGCACCATTGCAATACAGTTTGTTATCTTAGATCAGACCTGCATCGATCAGTACCAGAAGATAACCCTCTCTCTCTCTCTCTCTCGCTCTTACTTACACACACACACACACACACACACAGAGGTTGAGAATTAAGATCTGTCTTAAAGGAATCTGGATTTTTCTTGCCCAGTCAAATTTTCTTTAAAAAAGCAATTTTCTCATACAATTCATTGTTTGAGAATTTATTGCTGACTGTCAGCTCTTGCCATCGAATCAAGGAATAACCTACTAGCCTCATGTGTCCATGAGAGTGCTGTAACAATGCTCCTGATAGGGTAAGATGTGTGCATGTGACCATGAGGGTGCTGTTGTAACAGTGCTCCTGATAGCGTTAGATGTGTGCATGTGACCATGTATCCTTGGTAACAAAGATGTTAGCTAGGGAACTGACTTAAGTTCTTTTTGACAATATTTCATTTATTTGGACCATGGCTGACCTACCTTTGGTGAAAAATAAACTGAGATTTGGTCTAGAAGTTAAGAGTAGTTTTCTGGCTCAAGTTTTTTTTAGTGGAATAGGGTGTTGTCTTTTAGTGATATCAACTCATCTATTTATACATGTCTATTTACTATCAAAGTGCATCCTAATTTTAAGGGCGACCACACATCTATCTAGAGAGTGTAATTGTTTTCATAATACTCAATGAAGTCAGTTTTACGTCAGCGGTGCCAGTGAGAAAAATTTTTTTTATGAAGCTTAAAGCTGATAGTATGGAGCCATTGTATTCAGTCAGTGTTATAGCAGTGTTTTTCTACATGTCATGTGATGGCAGCTGGGTTTGACGTCATTAGCTGGAACAATAACACAACGAGCCTCTTCTCGAGGGCTATTGACGTGAATTTCTTAGTGTGTTTGCTGTGATGTTTTACCTAATATTATGTAGGCAATTGACATCATTGGGTTCTCTGAATCAGCGTTATTTCTCTTAATTTATTAATCTTTCCGTCATGGGTCGCATGACCTCTGGTCATTTACGACAAAATGTTGTTCTATGGCGTATATAGCGTAAAAGTCCGGGTTGTCAAGATTAAAAAAAAAATTATCACCAGATGAGTTGATATAAAAAGTGCTGGAACATGTTTTGAAAATACATTTACATAATTTAGTACCGAAGTGTTGGAAGGTCCACAAAGTAATAGGAGGCAGCATTGTAGAATTCTTTGATTTGCGGGATTTGAACCTGTGGAAATGTGTGCGTGTAAATGTGTCACGACATGGCAGTAAGTCACTTTTTCAAGTTCATAGAAGAAACCAAAGAAGAGATCTAATATATATATATATATATAATCCCTGCCATTACTTACATTACAGTGGTTTTCATGAACAAATTTTTATTTCATTTCTTTATTTAACACTTTGTATGAAACCTGCATATTGCCTTTGGTGGGCACTTTGGAAGAGCCAAGAATGATTATTTTCGCTTTACTTGACCTATATTTTCAGTTTGATACTAGAACTACATTTTTAGTTTTATAGCATGCATGGGGTTAAGATTTAAAGCCAATCTTCAGAAATATCATTTAAGTTTGAACTTCAGGAAGTAATCACTTGATTGCAATAAGCCCCTGTGTATTTTGCTGTCTAATTATGTGTTTAGTTGGAATCATGATGAAAATTGGGTTGGAGATTAGAAACATAAAGGTTGCGACATTTTCTTCCTGATTCAGTTAAAACTATGTTTGCTTGGTTTGAGCAGTTCCGAATGCCACATACTTGTGGATTATATATGGAAGATTATTTGAAGCAGCTTTTTTCCATCATTTAATGCATTCTTCTTTTTTTTCTGTCTTATTTTCAGATGATTTAGGCTGATGGTCAAATCTACTCATGAACATGAATAAAGATAATTGATTTTTAAAAAAGGAAAATAAATGTTTCCTGAATGAACTTCTGAGCTATCTGGGATCTTTGACTTAAAATTCAATTGATGTTATTAATGGTGGTTGTAGCAAGCCAGAAGGTTGCCTGTTAGAGAACTATTTACAGATATGTAGGTACTGTAGTAACTCTTGTTTCCTGTTGTTCTTTTCAGAGTTTTCAAGAAAAGCAGTCCCAATGGAAAAGTAAGTGATGAGACTTGAGTGAGAGTGGGTGTGCGAATCAAGACTACTCATTATGTCAAGTTATCAAGTCTGGGTTTTGTTCCTGTTTCCATTTTAAGGTTTCTTCCATGGCTTAATTGTTATTTCCTGTGTTAAATCAGAAAAAAAATGGAATATCAAACTTTCAAAAATAAAAAATAAAATAAATAAATAAATAAAATGAAAGAAAGAAAAGGATAAGCAATAATAAATATATGTAGTTTTAAGAAAATGTTAGATTTATATATAATGACAGAACATTATTGAAGAATTGTTCCTAATAAACTCATCTTTGACATTCTGGTAATTATTTGCACTAATAAAGCAATATTTCTTTCGTATTTCCAAAATCAGTTTGGTTGAAAATACAAGATGGAGAGACGCTGATTAAATTTTTTTAAAAATCTACAAACGATTTTCATTTTCTGTTTCAGATTACCACTTACATTGGGAAGAGGGATTTTATAGATCATTTATCTCAGATAGACCCAATAGGTGAGTTGAACAAGTTGACTGGTTTAAATCTAAATGATGTCGTTGATGGATGACCTTTTTAATTTAGAAATTACATGATTCAGGTGTCAGTGCTCATTGGAGAACTGTAAACAAACCTTTACAACTACTCCCTGCTGAAAGGGCTGCTGCAGAGTGCCTCAAAAATGTTCTTATTCTGAGTTAATTTTCCTAATATTTTTAAAAATTTGGTTTTTGGGAATGTTTACATTTTGGTTCATCCCATGTGTGATTTTGTTCAAATTGTAATGTTATCTTCTTTGATAAAACTCACATGGCTTGTATCTCTTTCAAATAAACATGTTAATCAAATTTAAATAATTCCCAGACACCTTGTGTTTAAAAACAATTGTTATGGTTACTAACTTCTCAATAAATTCAGAGAAATATATTTGATATTGTATTTACTTATAGAAAATAGTTATTTCTCATTAATATGCAATATGCGTAGATTGTGACCTAGTATTTGTAAATGTTAGCCTTGATAGAAATTGATGACATACTAACCAATTTTTGGACCAATCGGAGGAAAGAAGGCATGCCAATGTACAACAACTTTGGATGGATAATAACAATGTTTCAGTGTTTGGTGTTTTTTTTTTGGATGTCATTGACATTTGAATGATTTAGTATTGATTTTAATAATAACACTGTTACAGGCTTTTGCTTTCAGTTTACTTGTTGTTTTGCGAAAAAGTCAAATCAACCAAGTGCTTTTTTCAGGAATCTGCAAAGCAACATATAACCTTAGCTTTTCTCTATAATATTATTGCATTTTTTTTTTTTAATTTCCAGATGGAGTAGTTCTAATAGATCCAGAATATCTCAAAGATCGCAAAGTATTTGCTCACGTTCTGGCAGCATTTCGTTATGGCAGAGAGGACCTGGACGTGCTCGGGCTCACATTTCGCAAGGATTTATTTCTTGCATCCATGCAGGTGTACCCCAAATTGCCCGAGAACGAGAGGCCACTAACAAGATTACAAGAGCGCCTGATCAAGAAATTGGGGCCTAATGCCTATCCTTTCTATTTTGAGGTAACAGTATTATATGTTATCTTTCTCTCAATTTCCCTTTCTCTCTCTTCGAGAAAATATGGATCTATAAACCCTGATTTGGAGTTTTATATTTCTTGTTGTCAGAAGTAAAATTCACATCACTTTATTATATTACTGAGATACTCAAAAACTAGAAAATGTTAATATTGAATGAAATATGATTGATATAAAAATTAATAATATGATAAAGAAAAGTGATTCATGTTTAGAATAGCCAGGCAAACGATCCTTTTCACAACTGTTTCAGCTTTCTCCAAATACACCATCCTCCGTGACGCTTCAGCCAGCCCCAGGGGACACTGGGAAGGTTTGTTCTTTTAACAAACAAATAATTATGTGTATAAAGTTAAAGCTATACGAAAGTAAAAACCTGTTTCAGAATACATTGTTTTGAGGTAATATCAGCTACTCAAGTTGTAATGAAGTCATGCCAATTCATATCACCCTACATTTCTTTGAACTATAGAACTCAATAATATTATGTTGACAACTTAATTAGGTCACACCAAGGGTGCTTTCCCAGAGATTTAGATCAATCTAAAGATTAAGTTTTAGATCGACCTAACTCCCTGGGGGTTCATGCTAAATTGCAGTCAGCCGAGCGGGCACCATAGTTAATTACCCCCTTACAGCTTTTAGTAGGCGGGACAGACGCTTAAGCCGACCAAGCTGACAGTAATCTAGTGAGACTCCCCACAGGGATAGATCGATCTAAAAATCTATGGAAATGGGGTGTAAGACAAGCTTCCCTGTATTATTGTCTATAAACAATACTCCATAATATTATTTGGATAAATTATCCTACAGCCCTGTGGAGTAGACTATGAACTAAAGACATATGTTGGTGAAGGAGTGGATGACAAGTCACATAAGAGGTATGGACCAGGGATTTTTTAAACAAGTAGTGTACCTTCTCTGGTTTTTTTTTTCTAGTACATTAGAACAAGGGCTTTATTTAGCTTCATTTTACCAGAAAAAACTTTAAAGGTCTCACACCAAGAATTATTCTGAGTGCAATATTGATTTTAATATTTTTATTCTACAGTTGCATGTTTATGTTACATAGGTGCGGCTTGTTTCTATTTTTATCAAATTAAATATGGTATCCCTCTAGGAATTCCGTCCGGCTGGCAATCCGTAAATTAACATACGCCCCCGTAGAACCTGCTCCACAGCCGACGGCAGACGCCATTAAGGAGTTTATGATGAGTGCAGGAACACTACGATTGGAGGCCAGTCTGGACAAAGAGGTGAGAATTAGGTCATAATGACCTAATTATGGTATTTAATAAAAAAAGTTATTGTTGTAAGTGATGTTTCCCAAGGCAATATTTTTTGTTAATTTCTTTTTTTAAGTCAAAAAATGCTCCTTTAATTTTGATTTCAGAAATATTACCATGGGGAATCCATAGCTGTCAATGTTCTTGTGGACAATAACACTGGCAAAACAGTGAAGAAAGTAAAAATTTCAGGTGAGTGTATTTATTTATTTGTTTATTAATTTTTTTGATATGCGCATATTCTCTAAATAAATTATTGATCAGTGACATGCAATTTTATAAATAGATATCATTAAGTAATATAAGTGTACAAATTTGATAACATCAGATTGCTTTTTACAATTTTTTCTTTTAATATTGTGGTACTTTGTATTTCTGTATAGTTGAATGTATTGCATGTTTTGTGTTGTTTGTATTTTTTTTAGCATTTCATGTATAAATGAAGGTTTTTATTTCAGATGCCTGGTTATCCCTTAGATGATCAGAGAAAAGATATTATTAAAATGATAATTATATTTTCAATCACTTTGGCATGCAATTTTGGAATGTTATACTTTGACAAAAGTGATTTTTAGAATGTATTCCTGTTTTAGGAAGAAGGCACAGCTAGTTCCATTAAAAATTCCAAAGATAGGGAATGTCCTTCATCCTTTTGAAATTTTTGTGATGACTGCTAAAGCCTTCGCAAAAAAAAAAAAAAAAAAAAAATATATATATATATATATATATATATATATATATATATATATATATATAAAACTCCAGGCAACAAATTTTTGATTCATTCATGTAAAGGGAAAAAAAATCAAAAAAGGAAATAGAAAAATATTGGCAATATTTCTTTTTTTTTTTCAAACATAGGTTTAGTGGAAAGTAATTCTTTTGAATACAAGTAACTTCTTTTGACTAAAAGTACAACAATTTCCAACTTGATTTTGATGTTTTTTATCCTTTAATTTTCAGTTCATCAGGTCTCAGACATCATTTTATTCTCTAAAGGTTCTTATACCTCCACTGTAGCTGAAATGACTTCAGAGTAAGTGGCACCATCTAGACTGCTGTAGTGTCTGCATAGTGCTGACATCTGGTGTGCAGTCTGAGGATGTTCACATGAGCTCTATATTCTGAAGTGGTCTTGAAGAGGGCAAACAAATTTAGATACCAAGAGTTAGATATCAGAGGCATGGACATTATAGTGTTAATATCAGTTGATCTATACGTTCTATAGCTTGTTGGAGAGAAATTGATACATTTACTTGCAGGAATTGAATATATCCCTTGCTGCACAATTTGATTGCATAAAATTTTCATTTTAAATTCAACCAAATTGCTCCTTGGTTTAGAGCCAGTATGAATGTGTCAATGTGAACACTTGTACGTCTCCAAGACCATTTCTGAAGAGACTTCTTGTGAATTTGTTCATAGTGCTGACATCTAGTGAGCAGATGAGTTAATGTCTCCATCTTGTGTGTAGTGGAGGTTCTTTGTTTTTTTTTTGTTTTTTTTTGTTTTTTTTCTTCCATTTCTTTCAGCTTTTGCAGGCTACCTAGTTGAACTGGGTATAGAATCATTTCTTTTGGGAGGAGAGTTTGGAATCTTAATTTGCCTTACAGTTTAAAAGCATAATATGTTAGAAAATGCACAGCAGTACATTCGTCTTTGTAGTGTTTACTAAAATCAAACATTTTAGTTTAAAATATTGTTGTAGATTTTTATAGGTGAGAATTGTGTTAAATAATAGATTAATAAAAATGACAAAAAGTTCAGGATGACAAATCATTTGAATGAATGAAATTCTGCTCTCTGTCTTTTATATGACCCCACCTCGATAGAAATCAGAAAACAAGGAAATTAAACAAAGATGATATTTTTCTTCAAAAATTGAAGAAAAGACTGGAATCAAAAGGCTAATTGTATTTACCAGCTATGCTTTTGCTGCAGGCAAATCCAAGAATCTAGACATCAGAATCACCCATATTGATTTGACCTGATTTGATTTGATATTTTGATTTGTCTTTCTCCATAGCTACTATAGATGTGGATCAGATATTGAAAAGTCTTTTCTTCTTTATTTTCCTCGCTTCTTTCTGCAGTGCGTCAGTTTGCAGATATTTGTCTCTTCTCCACTGCACAGTACAAATGTACGGTGGCGGAGCTGGAGAGCGAGTAAGTAAGATTGCATCATCTGACGACCTAGATAGAAAGTGGCGATGACCTAGATACTGGTAGAGGTCTTCTTTAAGTAGGTCATGTTTTCTATCTAGGTCAGTGCATTTACTAAATCATCATTTACAAGCAGTGATGTTTAAGAATAGTTCCCCTGACCTGTAAATTTTTTTTAAATCCTAAAAATAGAAATGATAAAAAATATTGGGTGCTTTTATTCATAGTGGGAGGGGGGAGTTGTGAGCAGTAAGTATGATTTGTCAGAAGCATTATTTATTTATTTATTTAGATAACTTTCACTAATGTGCAAGTGGCCACTGTTGTTCTACATGTACATTTGTAATTTAGAATTTTCACTTGCTTTAAAATAATATAATCTTTGGCTGTTTGGCTGTTACATCTAACTTAGAATAAAAATGAAGCGGTTCAGTAAAGGCAAAAGACCATGTAGACTGCATGCTGATTATACTTAATGTTGTTCCTGCACAGGTAGAAATTTGTTTAGAAAGTAGGCATGATTGATAAAGTTCATAAGGGACTCTTCACCCCCCCTTCCCCCTGCCCCCTTGTCCTTTTCTGCCCCCCCCCCCCCC